CTGAACTGATCTGGGTGATTTTTGGAAATGTTGGTCACCCAGATCAGGGCTATCAGGGGATGTAACTTGTGTGGAGGTTTTGTGTGTTTAAATGTATTTTTGGGGTTTTGTAAAAATTTGTTTTCTGTGTCTGGAGATAACTGAGTTTAGTACAGTTCCTAACCCAATTATCTCTCAGGCACAAGAGAGGGATTATCCTATTTTGTATGGGAGTTTGCTGGACCTGAGAGCCAACGTATACCAGCTATAATTACCAGCTCTTGTAAGAGCTACACTGCTATACCTGCTATCCTCTCTTGGAGGAGAGGTCTTCTCACTGGAAGCTGGATCCAGGAGTTTGGTACAGGGTGAGAAGGGACGGCGAGACCACAGCAAACTGTGGCAGCTAAGGATCTACAGTGCTTATGATGTCCGTTGCAGTGCTTATGGTACTCAGCGACAGCTAGGAAGCAGTGATTGGCAGAGGCACCCAGTCGAGGTGCCAGGTGGTCCATCACACTATCAATTGAGGGGGGTGGGGACATTTTTAAAGAACTTTTTAAAATTGAGAGCATATGGATTGGATTTTTATCTTAAATTCTTTAGCCCTCAAAGGGCTAAATCTTGTCTTTGTCTTTTCCCTATCTCTTCTTTCTTTTATATATCCATTGATTTGTGGGTCATTTTTAAACAATGAGAGTATTGGGTACATAGTTCTATTTATGAGAGAATACAGACAAAAGGATCAACGCATGTGTGTGTATCTAGATGTCAGTGTTTGCCTCTGTGTGTCTGTGCATCTGCATGTGTCAGTGTTTGTATCTGTCTGTATTTGTATGTGTTAGTGTTTGTATCTATCTGTATGTGTCTCTTTAAGTGTCTGCATCTGTGTGTTTGTATGTGTATCTGTAAGTTTATGTATCTGTGTGTCATTGTACTAATATTGCGGTACTGTGACGTGGTAGTGGGCTTAACACAATATGGCCATATGGCGGAACTGAATCCCCATATTTGTTTAAGACAGATGATTTTAGATATCTTTGTTAAATATAAAACTTTGTTTAGTTTGTGTGTGCTCTGTTCCTTTAACTGTATTTTGTAAAGGTTTTCGTCTGTACGGCAACACTGCTGCTTAGAAATCCATGTTCTGGGTGTGCCCCCAATTCCCATTTTATTTCTGTGTGAAATTGGAATCCAGACCAGATTCCTATTCAGCTGAGCACCCCACCCATCCACTATGGGTGCACCGTGGAGCTGACCACAGGAAAGCTTAAATTGAGGAGTCTCTTAAAGCAGTTTAAACTGCTAAGTATTGCAAGTTAGCATGTAAAAATGAGTGCTGGATCCACTGGTATTGGGGTACTGTGACGTGGATGTTTGTGGCTACCGTAGAGGTGGCTTGATTTAAATGTGTAGTGCTTCTCACTTCTAATACTATATCCCGTTCACTTGAATTTGATACTTTGTTGTTTTTGATACATACCAAGCTGGGATATAGTTTAAATTTCATTTTAGCAGCTCACACTGTTTCCATTTTTTTACTACAATTGACACTGAGCTATGTAGGTTCCCCTTCTTTTTAATTGATGGTGATTATCACTTTTCACTTTTTGTTGCACCTATTTTGTATGTCAATTTATAATGAAGTTTATTACCTATAAGATTTTTTTTTAATTTAGAAGTAATTCCAGTGGGGTACAGCGCCTCCCTTTTTCTGTGGCGCCGTCTGACCTCATTAGTTGTATTCTCAGACTTGTATGAAGTATGGTAATTCTGCATGTGCTGTAAGCAAGGCTCAAAGAAGACAAATCCCATCTCTGTTAAATATCATTATAAATACCAAACAGAGTGAATACATTATATAAAGCCTTGCTAAATAATAGCCAATAAAAACAAGAAACCTCTGCAGAATGCTGCAAAATAAATAAAACTAATACAAACGGTGCAAAGGCATGCATAAAATTTACTAAGATGCAAATAGTCCATGCCAAACCACAACAAATGAAAATAAGCAATTAAATTACAAAAAAGTGGCATTTTGTGAGAGCTTGCAGACTGTTGCTCAGCCTGTGCAGTGCATCCAATACAACTGGGGTATTATAAATGGCACAACACATAGATGGCACCAGGGCATAATATAAAAACATACTAATATACTGGTAATGCTAATGTGATATATATATATATATGTATATATATATATATATTCTTAATATTTTAGAGCTCCTGCTTCTTGAGTAGTACAAATGTTAAGTAGCTTTTGAATCAATCACTACACTATCAACCAGTACATATAGTAAAAATACATGGTCCATAATTTTCCTAGATATAGCTACGTGCTGGTTTGCATATTTGGGGTTACAATCACCATACTAAGGATTAAAACGATCGCCATTCTCACAGATTTTACTCGGCTTTCATTTATTCCATTAACCACTAGGTGGCGCCTTCAAAGCAAAGCATTCAACAAGTCTTTTCCAAGTCAATAAAGCAGTGAAAGCTAGGTGTCGCTGTTTCGCTTTATGTTTAAATCTCCAGTTTATGACTTTAGACAGCCCTGCACAACTCAAAAAGTAACTATATCCTTAGTTCTCGAAATTGGTTACAAATTCATGTTATTAAATTATTTCAAAGGCAAAGTCACTCCGTTTTTTCCAAGCACTTTTAATAAGAAAGAATTTGAGTGATCCTTTGTTCTTGTGTTGCCTGTAGACATCTGAGGTTTCAACCTGGCGTTCTTAAATCACATCTTTATTTGCAGCTTTTCTTATTTAAGTGTCAGGATGGAATTTGATTTTCTTTTCTATATGATTTTTAAATCCTATAAAATAATGGAAATGTGTTTACTACTATATGCTATAAGTGTGAAGTTGGGACCAAATTAGACAGGACATATTAACCATTAGCAGAGTACTTAAAAATGTATTTGATCTATTTAATCTGTTTTATATAAATATAAAATGGTGTTCATCTACACAAGGTGAAAACTCTACATCGAATACGAGCTGTGATTAACCCTTTTAATGTTCTACCTCTCCCCTCTCCCCGTTTTTTTTTTTTTGTATAAGTAGAACCTGTCATTACAGCCAATGATGTCTTGTAAGCACATTCAATTCAAACATCTGTTCACAGCTGATAAAAAAAAAAAAAAAATATCCCAAAGGCACATAGCATAAATCAACCTCGAAAGGAAATTTAATTGCAATCTGATGTCACTCATATTTTCATGTACTGGTATTGTATTTAATAATAGTACATGTTACCATTAAAAAAAACAAAACAAAAAAAAAAAAACAGGTCAAAATAAATTATTGTATTCCACCAGTTCAAATATTTCATCAGTTTTGATGAACAGTTGCTTTGGTGCAAACCGAAGGCAGGGAATGCATTGTAACAACATAGAGGGTACTTGATAAGAAAAGTGATTGCAGTGAATGATTAGATTAAATAGCCATATGCACCATCAAAGCCATTTAACAAGTAGCATGAAGAATAGATTGAGACAAACCTCTACACATAGATTGCTGTAATATACCTGCTGAGCTAATAAGAGAGAGCACGCTTAGAGTGTATAGTGTAGTAGATTTGCTGTTATAAGAATGCAGCTTTTCTCTTATCCCTATACTTGCCTCTCTATTTCTCTCTCTCTCTCTCTCCCTCTATCTATCATTCTTTCTTCTCTGTTTACCCCCCTGTCTCTATGTCCCTCTCCATCCATCTTCTCTCTACCTGCCTCTCCTCTTCTCTTTACCCCCTCCTCCCCCATCTATCTCTCCTCATCCTTTCTCTCCCTTCTCTCTGTTTTGTATTGTCTATGTATATATTAGAAATACATTATATGCCAAATGTTGTATGACAACATTTTAGAACCTATTTTCTTTGGGGTGCAATTTAACTTTTCCAAATAAACCATTTAATACAGTAAGGTAGGGCTGATCTGTGTCTGAAGACTAATCTGATCTACCAGATGATTTATCATAATAAAGGCAACAGTCTGTTTTGTTATATACGCATGCAGAAATCGGACTGACTCGTATAAATGGGGGAAAAACAGATGAGGAAAACATGGGGGAAAAAAGAGGAAAGAAAACAAAAACAACATCTTTGGTTTCCCAGCACAACAGGATGCAGGAAAACCTTTCCTGGTTATGCTGAGAGCACAGACCCTTTTATACTACAGGGATCAATCGGCAACCTCAACATCTGCTCATATTCATCTTGTGACAAACGTGTTTAATGCAAAATAATTATGTGCATGCTGATTAATTCAGATAAAAAAAGCCGTTAATGAAGTCAGGTGTAGAACTCCCTGTTCCAATCACACATGTACAGGACAATAATTAGACCATGTGCAGAATATTTCCTTATTTTATTGTAAAGTAAGTGTATCGAAACACTGTCTAGATTACTTGTCCGTGACTTTTGCTCCAGGGATTAGACAGATTTTACTTTGAATTCTAATGGACAAGTTTCAGCACCAAGAGGGGACAGCTCATTGCTGTTAACCATCGCTGAGCATATAAATACAAATACAATAGGTGAAGTGACTCATTGCAGTTTCTAAGAAGTCTAGACAGATACTAATACTTGTAGACGGGCATTTAGTCCATAGGGAATAATAGGCAGCCGTTTGTAAAAATTCTGTCTCACAAGGAAGAAGTGATTAAGTGTCCCTGATGCTTAGAAGGGTCGATGAGCACCTCATGCAACCTGCTTTAGCTTCCTGAATGGAATAAAACAGCCCCTCCTCTCTCACAACATGGATGAGAGTCTATAAGATCATGCAGTGGACGGGAGAATAGTAGAGAAGCTTCAGCCACAATTTAGAACAGCGTATCAGCATCTAGATTGGTTTGTACTGCAAAAAGAATAATGGACATTGTTAAATGATTACAGTGTTTTTCTTACATTGGTCAGGATTCACGTGATCACATAATAGAAGAACTACCCACCTGTCGATATAAGAATATACGACAAAAAACTTGCAGGTTCTTCAGCATAGTAGTGCATGGCTGGGTCTTCAACGCAGTACTCAAGTTCTCAAAGTTCCATCTCGCTGGCAACCGTTGAACTGGACAAGGAGAGAACGTTCTCTGAGAACCTTCAGCTCAGTCTGTGACTGGTCAAGGAGAGCTCGTGTTGTACCAGGAGTCCAGCAAGGCTTTCATATCTCCTACAGTTTCACAGCTACTCCTAAAGAAGGATGATCACTGAGCAGACAGCCAACAGCACCCTGCTACTGGGCAATGGAAGTAAGCCAGAGCCAAGTATGCTACCAGAGGCTTCTCTACCCCATAACGACCCCGACCGTGAGATGGCAACTTATATCATCCGCTGCGTTATCCCTTCATTGTATTTGATAATCATCGTTGTGGGGTTAGTGGGTAACATCACGCTTGTTAAGATCTTTATCACCAACAGTGCTATGAGAAGTGTCCCAAATATCTTCATTTCCAGCCTGGCAGCCGGAGACCTGTTGCTGCTGGTGACCTGTGTGCCCGTGGACGCTTTTCGCTTCGTCTTTGACGAGTGGATGCTCGGGGAAGTTTGCTGCAAGCTCATCCCGGCTATCCAACTCACCTCAGTTGGGGTGTCTGTCTTCACACTCACTGCACTTAGCGCTGACAGGTAAGATGTACCCTAGCAGGGTAAAAGTGCTCATTCCACACTTTTAACTTGGTTCATAAGAGATTGCATCAGCAGTCGTTTCTTTTGTAAATGTATTAATTTTGCCAATTTACTTTTTTAATAACCCTTTTCCATGGTAGAACAGAGAATTTGAATCCCCCAACTCCCTTTTTTCATTGTTTTAGTATAAATGATCTGATAAGAGATTTTATTTGTGCATATTTGGTGCTGCTTTAGATACCCTAAAAATAAAACTATTTGATAAACAGAAGTAAAAAAATTATTCTAACGTTATCCATATGTGCAAATTTCTACACTTTAACATGTATTTTATATCTTATACATCTATATAGCTAAATAATGCTTTAACCTAATGCTGTAGATTTAATATGTATATTGATTATTGGCACTTGATACCTATAAGTTCACTTATATGTGTGTGGTTAGGTATGTGTATGTATATATAGACGTGTTAAAACGTACAATTAAAACAATGTTTCAATTCAATCAGTGTAGCTGTTTGCCTCTGAATGGATAGGAGAACACTTTAGCACTAATCAGTTATATGGTATTGGAATTGTATCAACGTGATGATATTTCCAGTATTATATTAAGAACAAAGTATTATATTAATTATAACATATATGCTACTGTTTTCAACAATTCACATATTGATCTCCTAGCTTAGGTTTCTATCCCATCGAGGTTGATGATATTATCACTGAGCAGTTCAACTGGCAGTAAGTTTAAACTCACTCAGAACACAGCTGATTGTGATCTGCACCCACAGAGGTGTAGACAACAAACTCCCTTGCAGTTGGGAAAGGGACAGAGCCAGTAAAGAGGGGCATTGCCAGGGGAGGCTGACAGGGACTGGAGTCTGGTATAGTTGTATTGTTAGTGGCCTGTAATACTGAAAGTACAACTCTAGTTATATAATTTGTTACAGTGCCACTTTAATATACCATATTTAGAGTTAATTTTACAGCAAATTGGGGGATGGACATGGCTATAGGTGCATGCTTTTTTAATGCAGTGGGTTGAAGGGTTAATAAAGTGTGACTTGGGGTTTATAAAGAAGGTGTGGAGTTTATAAATATATGTACATGTATAACTGAGTTCAGTCAAAGATTTGGTGACACAATATGATAAATTGCACCTCCAAAGGCTTAGGAATGGACTTAATCCAATATATATGTCTGGTTCTAGGAGTGGGTTAATTCAATGCATGAATAAGGGGCCATACAACTTATTTTTATCACCAAGGAACTCTGCTGCTGGACACCACTGGATCACCACATATTTAACAATTACCTGCACTGAACCAACAGAGATTTAGAAGTGGCCTCTGCCAGGCCACAAGGGATTTCATGCCCCTGCTCCTCACCCTCTAATTGCCTTCTAGTTTGCCCCTCATCCCACTCCCTCCAGATTGCTCCCCTTCACACTCCATCCAGGTTTCTTCTCCCCTAACTTGCCCTCTTCCCTCTCCCTCCTGCTTGACTCACTAACTTCCCCACAGCTCCCTTCACATTGACCAACCTCCATTACCCCAGCTTATCATGCACCCCTGTAGTTTGCCCTCCTTCACTTTTCTTCCAGTGTACTCTCCCTCCTCCCTCAGTCCCTTTTCATCTTTCTCTCACCCTCCAAGTTTCCCAGCTTATACTTGCTATCCCCCTTTCCCCCAAGCTTGCCCATTTCCTTTCCCTCTCCACCCTCCATGACTCTCTCCCTCTCTTTCTCTCCTATCTGTTGCTCAGGAGAAATGTAACTTTGGCAGGCATGAACTTTTGGAGCAATGTTGCTGTAGGTCCTACATTGATTAATTAAATTTATTATCTGGAGTGATGTTGCTTTAGGGGTATCTAAAAAGGGAGGAAAATTGCTGTGGAAATGTCACTGTGGGGATGTATACCTGAGAGAAGGATGTCACTAATGAAGGGATGTTGCTTTACTGGTGTTAAAAATGCTGTGAATTAAAAATTATTTTAAAAAGTTAATACATTATCAATCAACAAATTGGAGTGTGTATTAAATGAAGAAAATAAATTAAATCAATATTCGTGTTACCACCCTTTGTCTTCAAAACGACAGCAATTCTTCTAGGTACATTTGCACACAGTAAGGAACTCAGCTCCATACATCTTGGAAAGCTAACAACAAATCTTTTGTGGATTTTAGATACTGTCGGTTCATTCTGTCTCTTAATGTATTCTCAGATGTACTTGTTGAGAACATGGTTTTCTGAGGGCCCTATTATCACTTACAGGATTCATTGTTCTTTACTCTATGACATTGGCTGTATGTTTGGGGTCATTGTTATGATGGAGAATACATTTGGAGTGAATCAAATTACTCCATGATGGTATTGCATGATGGATAAATATCTCTCTGTACTTCTCAATTTTGATCAGATAAAAGTAAGCTGAGAAAAACAAGGGATGTGCATTAGCGATTTCAAGTGTAACTGTCCATTCCAGTGAACCAGCAAATGCTTATAATTGATAAGCATACACTTCACAGTACTACGATACTATAATTTCCCCTGTGCTACGCTCACTACAAAACACACGCAAACACTAACTCACTGATAATCCATGATGACTGTTGAGAGCAGCTGGGCTGCTTACAAACAAACAAATTTAAGCCTCACATTAAAACCCCCACTACTCCTGGGTGTCAACAATGACTATAGTACACATCAACCCCAATACATACATACACTTTCAACCAAAGAAAAAGTTACTTGCACACTATCTCAATCCCTATGCTCATTTAAATAACTGATAGTTTTTTAGTATCACTCCAATGTCCATGGAAGGGCAATGGTCGTTAAAGTGATATTAAAAAAAATCTCCAGGTATTTAAATGTGCATAAGGATTTGAGTACACCTTTGAAATGCTCAGTCTGCTTCTACAGGTGCTTTCTGAAGTGCTAATTTAACCCCTTAAGGACACATGGCATGTGTGACATGTCATGATTCCCTTTTATTCCAGATGTTTGGTCCTTAAGGGGTTAAACTCCAGGAGGGTGTCTGAACCAGGAAGTCCTGGTTATAATAGTTCAAATAGCTTAGACACTGTCTTACCATTGGCACTGCAGTTCTTGCTGACTACTTCTCCCACGAAACTCAGACAGTCATTCAGCTTATTAAGAGTCTTGAGAAATATAATTTAGTTGAACTGGAGTGTTACTTGTAAGGCATTATGTTCATAAAGTGTAAAAATATATATTTAAAAAAAAAAAGAAAGAAAAAATAGAAAAATTGGCTACCAGATGGGTTATCTGAGGTCATTACTAAATAGTTTAGTTCAATTTCTGAATGTAGAGTGTTATAGAAATCCCTACATTGCTGGTAAACAGTGCTTTTAGTTCCTGCGTGGATAAGAATGCAATGGAGAGTTGTTGGCAGGGAAGAGAGTGAGGAAGGGAGGAACTCAAAGCATGGATCCAGGGAGTCTTATCAGAGACTGCAGGGAGAATGTGCGATGATGTATGCATAGCAAGGATCTGGGGGAGAGGTGTCGGAATAGGTCTTTTCACTTTTCATAATGTGCAGTCCTAACTGCCACTGAAACACTGCCGTATTTGCATATTTGACACTTTTTCAGCTCTGTAAGCACACAGCTCCATTTATCTGTCCCTAAGCTTCTCACACACATGATGATTCAGAGGCTACGGGGCTGCACAGTGTTAATATGAAGAGACAGTGTGTGATAGCTCTCATCCAGCCCTCCTGATTACATATTGCTGCATTGTATTCAACCTCCTCCACCGAGCAGCGGGAGCAACCTGGCTTAAACAATGCAACAGGCATGGAGTAAAAATGGCAGCTTTCTGCCAACCTCACCACCTAATGCTAGCAGCCTATAACAGCACATTTGGCGGGTCTGTCTATTAAGGCAGCTAATTTGTTACCCAAAAAGGAAGCATTGAGAATAATAGGTGGCCATCAGATTCACACACATTCTTAGAGATTTTAATCAGAATTATGGGTAAACAACCGTGCATAAAAAGAATGAGGGAACCTGCAGAACTAATTTTTAGAGTACTTAGAGTATCCCTTTAACAATATTTGTCTATTGAAAACATATATAAGTAAGGTTTTACTACAATTCACTTCCACTGAGCAGCTGTGTTTGTTCCATCTCTAACCCACAAACGAACCAATTGTGGCAGTATTCTTGCTGCCAGTGATGAAATGACAGGTAATCTACTGCTTTATTACATATAGAAATATATATAAAATATTTGTCAGATTTCACTTTAACTCTTATGCTTTACACACTAAGAAAATGTTATTTATATGTGAAAAGAACACTTGAATATCTTTATATATAATTTTTTTTTGTTAATATTACTTGAGGTATGGTTCCACTGTTGGATTTCTGTGAGACTGCATAGAATAATGTTTATTTTTTATCTATCTATCTATATATATATCTCTGCAAACCTATACATTATCGAGTTGTTTGAGCAACATGATAGCCAAAATTATTAGCAGATTAAAACTCTATCATGTAATTTTATTTATTTATTACTGGTATTTATAAAGCGCCAGCAGATTCCACATGTATGAGAGAGCCCCTCTAAGAAACCATGCATCTTATCTGTCTCATCTTATCTGAAGATCATCATAAGGCATGTTTTTAACATTCACATAAACATTTCCATTTGTTATGAATTATCATATCTGAATTCTGTACAATGTATTACAAATTACCTACTTAGAATATAGTTAGCTGTAATGACCTGTGATTCATTTATTATGTGAGCTAGGGTTCCTGAAAGTAATTTAGCTTAGTTCAATAAAATCAGAAAATCATTCAGCTAATCATTGTGAATACATAACCATAACTCTGAGAGTAGGCTTTGATACTAACATTTGAAGTTTTGTTTTGGGAAAAAGATTTTGCAGAAAATGTGCCCTTGTTGAGAACAAAAAAGTTACTTGTAATGAGTTGATAACTGATGTAGAAAATGAATAGCAGAACAGACAGATATTGAGCTTAATATCTAATAATAATGGTTCAAATGTGCTATATGAATGCAAAAAAAATGTTTTTTCTTCTGATAGTGAACAGTTACCACACTTTAATGTATAATTACCCAAAACACTCCAAATTAACAACTCTAATAAAGCTTACACAGTGGAGCATGATATACAAAAATATTGCAATAGCGTATAGTGTGTTGTCACTTCTATAACATATATTTAAAAGTTAATTATCTTATTTATATAGAAATATATTCTAATAATCCAGTATATGTACCTTTAAACACATACTATACAAAACATTGTAAAACCTTTACATAATGTTATATATATATATATATTTTTTTTTTTTAATTGGAACACTCACATATTCCAGATCTATAGAACCTAGCTCTGGTTGTAGAAGCTTATGGGTCTGTTAGGTACAGGTATATAGAAGAAGCAAAGAACATATAAAATGACTCAGTAGATCAGCTGTGTATGTATGTACTTTGTATTCACTTTTAACTACATTGGTCTTTCAGTTTCTGCATAACTTATGGGGTGGTATAGTCTTGAACCATACCATACACAGCTAATCTTCTGAGCCATTTTACTGGCTTGTTCCTTGATCGTTGGGATATAATTTTCTATATACAGTTGTGCTATATAAAATGTATTTTATTGAACGATAGTGATCATATGAAGCCATTTATTATCACATAGTTGTTGGGCTCCTTTTATCATAATGATAACAGTAATCCCCCAAATGGACCTGATCAAAAGTTTACATACCCTTGAATGTTTGGCCATGTTACAGACACACTAGGTGACACACACAGTTTAAAATGGCAATTAAAGGTTAATTTCCCATACCTGTGGCATTTTAAGTTGCATTTAGTGTCTGTGTATACGTAGTCAATAGGTTTGTTAGCCCCGCGTGGATGCACTGAGCAGGCTAGATACTGAGCCATGGGGAGCAGAAATAACTGTCAAAAGACCTGTGTAACAAGGTAATTGAGCTTTATAAAGATGTAAAAGGATATAAAAAGATATCCAAAGCCTTGAAAATGCCAATCAGTACTGTTTAATCACTTAAGAAGTGCAACATTCCAGGATCTCTTGATACCAAGCCAAGGTCAAGACCAATAAAGATTTCAGCCACAACTGCCAGAATTTTTTTTTTTTTGGATGCAAAGAAACACCAACAGATAACCTCAGGCTGCTCTAGAAAAAGATAATGTGGTTGTTTCAAGGAGCACAATGCAACGATACGTGAACAAAAATGAGCTGCATGGTCGAGTTGCCAGAACACAGCCTTTACTGTGCCAATGCCACCTGCAAGAATAAGGGGCCTCATAGACAACTATTACAAAAGACTGCACACTGTTATTGATGCTAAAGGGGGCAATACAAAGTATTAAGAACTAAGGGTATGCAGACTTTTGAACAGGGGTCATTTTTTTTTTCTTTGTTGCCATGTTTTGTTTTATGATTGTGCAATTCTGCCATAACCTGCAGTTGAATATGAATCCCATTAGAATAAAGTGTGTTTTGCCTGCTCATTTGTGTTTTCTATAAAAATGGTACATATATTACCAATTCTCTAAGGGCATACTAACATTTGAGCACAACCATACCTGTAAAGTTCGGAGGGGTCACTCTAACAGACAATGTGCCTCAGTTCTCTGTTACTGCGCTCTGTGACTTTTCATGGTTTTCTACTTTGTGCCTGAGTTGCTACTGCTCCAAAATGCTTCCTAATAATACCATTTACAGTTAACAGTGTAATATTTAGCAGGGATGAAATGTCACAAACTGACTTATTACAAAGGTGGCATCCTAGTACCACCCTTAAATTAACTGAGCTCTTCAGAACAACCTCCCCCACCTCCCAGAAATGTTTGTGAATGCAGGCAGCATGGAAGTGCTTGATTTTATACACCTGTGGCAATGGGTTTGATTAAAACACCTAAATTCAATGATTAAGAGGTGTGTCCAATACGTATGTCCTTATAGTGTATCTTCTAATGTAAATCAGTGTCAGATGTACTGCAGTTAATGTGTATAATATTTAATTTACACAGAAAACCCAACTAAGCAGGAAAATAGGTCACTCTATATCAAAATAAGAAATTATAAGCAGAGTGGATTAATTGATCCATAAATTATTATGTCACACTATTAACAAGCCACACATTGGTTCCAATGGGACATAAGTTTACAAAAATATTGTCAGATCAACAGTTGCAGTCTTAACATTGCTCATCAAGGTAGCAAAATACAACATAAATTAAATCAGGGAAATAATACAGACAATGTATGATCGTGGCCATCTGCCTCTATGTCTAACATACTTCATGAAATGAGCACTTGCCTATAGCATGCGTTCTCTTATAATTAATCACTAAATTAGCTGCACTATGGTTAATCAAAACCCATACTGCATTATGATTAGGCATAGGCAATGCATTCTGAATGAAAAATGATATGCCTACTGAAAAACTAGACATGCATGTAGCTTATCTGTGTTAGTTACCAATTTCAATATTTTGACTTCAAACCAGGCCTCATCAACCAACATATGTGGCCAACCTCAATAATGCCCTTGTGAATTAATGGATGCAAATTCTGTCCACAATGATCCAATATAGTACAGTTACTTTTAAGTATTGAATAAGGACCAGTCAAAACTTATCAAACCTCTGTCTTATCTGCACTCATGTCACTTTAACCCCTGTATCATAACTCAACTTTGAATTCTATGTGTCGTTTTGCTTGAGAAATGCTTTAGACTTGAGAAAAAAATCCTGTTAGTCCAATAAAAAAGGTATTACAAGATACAAATGCTAAATTAAACACAAAAAAACTTCAAAGAGGTAGGAAACAAGCCTAGCCTCAGAGTTTAGTGGGAGGGGGATGGGTTACAGAGGTATAAAGGGCTTAACCCAGTAAATATAGAGACTAATAGAGGTGAATCACTCCTAAAAATAGCAGAGAAAACAACCTCATAGAGATACCTCTAGTGGGGATACAATATAGGGTAATAAACTTTATTGAAACCAAGAAAATAGACACAAAAAGATAATGTGTATCAAAACGTGATCAGTGAAATGAAATGATAATGGTAGAGCACAGGTTGATGATCCTAGAGGCTCAGTCAACACAATCAGTTACAAGTGTAGCTTAGTCTACTGTTATGTATACATACTAAGCTGTTGTAGAGATCTAAGATGGTACAAAGTATCAACCTGATAAAGTGTTACAAGTGAAGTCAATGTTCCATATACTGCACCTTGCAGTAGCCTTCTAATAAATACACTGAGATATACACTAGCTAATTGTTAGTACGTCCACTCAATCTGGGATACGTATCAAGTCGCTGTTTAATATAATAGACCTCCGAAATATATTCCCATTAGCAATAACGGGCGGTAGGGATTGGATCAGGTGTAGATATGATCAGCAGACAAATCCCAAAGTTAGATGATGTCTAAAAATAAAGAGTTCAGTACTAGTGTAGCGTTTAGGAATTATTAGTGTTCAGAAAGTGAAAGTAGAAGATCTGCTAGTTAGGGGAGGGTGATCCTCATTAAAGTAGGTAGCCTATTCTGCTGTACTAGTATCCAACTCAGAACAGTCTAAATCCGCCCCCTATGAGTATATTGTAAAACTTCAAAGGTTATGGGTGGACTTGCTGAATGCAGAAGCAAAAAACAGCAGGTGCTTCATAGGTGTAGAAGGTAAATGAAAAAAGCACCTCAATAAACCAGAGGCTCACCGCAATTACTTAGAAGCAGTCTCCCTTAATTGGACCACAGCCATCTCTTAGATTGTCTTCTCTATAGGAGGTAATAAGTGCCTAATAGCCCCTCTCAGACTAGATATGGGAAAAGTCTGCTAGTAGTAGGAAGGTGACCGTTAACACTGTATAGAGCTCAATGGTTACAATAATCACGAACTCAAGGTTATATGGATACACCCTCCTACAGATATATAGCAGACCTCTGTAAAGTGATTGGGATAGCGCTTAGGTCCATAGACAAGGGAGATGGACAGGTAAATGAAATGCTTGCCACGAGAGGAGTAGACGGTATAGATACCTAAATATACTTCAACCTCCCATCTGCTGCTTCGAGGCAGCCCCCCTAACCTAAGAAGAAATTAAATAGAACTATATGGTGACGGTACTGCGTCCGTCACAACCATTATCAAACTAAGTTTAAAATCAAAAGTAAATGTGTCGGCAGCCTGACGTGTGTTTCAGCGGCACTTCCGCCTTTCTCAAGAGCTGAATCGATATCCACGGGGAGGTTATCCTTTAAACGGCGTGGGTGTCCTGCCTTCCTTTGGGGTCCACCAATCATAGATGTTCATTCTGTGAGGGTGGAAAGAACTTCTAAAGGGGGTTGGGGTAGGAAGAGAGGGAATGTACTCCCCCGTGCGCATGTGTGATCGCCATATCAATGTTTAGACGTTTCTATGGAGACTGTGATTCGGAAAGGCGTTATAGAGATCTCCTTGATGCCTATATTACTGGCTAGTTTCCCTGAGATGTCCTATGTGTATATTCCCTGTGGTCAGGACAGCAGGTTCTCTCCAGTGGTCCACATACTTAATGTTAACAACTAGCGATCAGTAGAGGCACCATTTATTGGAGCTCCTTGCTAGACCTTTTATTGTCATGGTTGGTGTACTTATTGTGTATAGTCAGTCTGAAAGTACAAATACTCTAGTGCATTTTGTGGTCCATTCGATGATCTGGTACATATACTAGTCCCAGGGTAGAGACATGACTATGGACTAAATCCACATGCAAACGTGGGGGAGGAGGGGGGTTTACAGGTAAGTACATGTAAAAAATGCCTAATCAGTGATCCAATTCACCTAGTAATCCCAGAGTCTGAACATAGGTATGGGATAGGTCTACATGCAGGGAAGGGGAATGTACAGGTAGGTATGTCGAGAGTCCCTAGCAGTATTAAGGTGATAATGCATGCATATCTTTATTAAGGTGTATTTAAAATGATAAGTATCCCTCCATATCAGAAAATCAGACGAGCATCCCAATTATGTTAACGTGAGTTATCTCACAAATAAAGGAAGTGAATATATATAGTTTAAACAATAAATAAAAAGAAAAAAAATTACCATGGAATTGATAATAAGCAGAAGGTTAGTAATATTATACAATCAATTGTGTATAACGGGCAGGGGGACATCAAATAAATGGAGAGAAATATCATTTTATTTCACTGATCGCATTTTGATACACATTATCTTTTGGTGTTTTGTATGTGCCTATTTTCTTGTTTTCAATAAAGTTTATTACCCTATATTGTATCCCCACTAGAGGTATCTTTGTGAGGTTCTTGTCTCTCCTATTATTAGGAGTGATTCACCTCTATTAGATACAAATGTTATCTATTTTTTACATCTACATGCTGGTCAACATAGCATACAGATAATGATAGGGTAGCACTCCTTTTCCACTTAGGGGTGTACTCACTTTTGTTGCCAATGGTTTAGACATTAATGGCTGTGTGTTTAGTTATTTTGAGGGGACAGCAAATTTACACTGTTATACAGACTGTACACTTACTACATTACATTGTAGCAGTGTGTCATTTCTTCAGTTGTCACAAGAAAAGATATAATAAAATATTTACAAAAATGTGAGGGGTGTACTCACTTTTGTGAAATACTGAACATATATACTATACAAAGTGATTAATAAAATCATGTACTCACCGCCCACATGTGTGGAAGTTTACCGGCATCGAAGGCACACATGGCTATTGAGCTCAGGCCTCACTACTGACAAATTACTAGAGTTGGACCAAATGCATTCCACTGCGTTGCCTCAGCAACAGCTGGTACACATGCTGCCGTTCCGAATCTGCCGCTCCACCGGACCAACTGCCACAGCAATCCTCTTCAGCCAGCCAAAACCTTTGAGGCTGGGGATGAATGGACAATACTACTCCAGCCCACATGCTGGAGATG